AGCAGCGGCCGGAGCAGCGGGGTGAGCCGGGGCTGTGGGGGGGGGGGGGGGGGGGGGGGGCCGGGGCTGCGGGGGGGGGGCCGGGGCTGCGGGAGGGGCCGGGGCTGCGGGGAGGGCCGGGGCTGCGGGCTGCTCCAGCGCCCTGCTGGCCAGCAGGAGGAGCACTTGGACCAGGGTGCTGTGGGTGTTTTCTTGTCCCGAGGCCGCCCTGTCAAGGTTTGCGGAGATCCGCTCCAGGACCTCCAGGAGCTGAAATGGCAAAGAAGTTTCATTAACATTGGGCAGCATATTTCCATACACCCACAGTCTGCCAAGACCTTGCTCATGCCACAACTGTGTCATTCTGCACCATTGTGGACATGCACTGCTTTCTGTGGCCTCGTGGCGGCACCTTGGTCCTAACCTTGTTAGTTGTAAGTGCGTGTAAGGTTAAGTTTGAGCCTGTACCCGGCCTCGGAACTCCCTCTCCTCTGCAGCCTGGTTCACGTTCTGCTGCAGCAGCAGGGCCTGTTGCTCCACGGCCTGGATGGCAGCCGCGTCGTGCCGCTCCTGCCTCGACTGCCGGGGGGGGGGGGGGGGGGGGGGGGGGGCGCGGCGCGAGGCACGGTGGGCCGCACCCACGGCCCCCAGCTTGTCGTTGTGTCTGCCAAGAAACCGAGTATGGGTGATGATGGTGCTCATACCTGCACCACTGATGATAGGTCCCAGGTGCCCTAGCAAGAGAGCTTACCTCGTGAGGTGGAGGGCACCGGCTCAGCTGCCATCTGGCGCCTGCTGCTGCTTGGCCTCTCCTGGAAGGGGAATTTATAACTCGTGAGAACACGCAGCCTTGTATGTGCTTCCCATTTGTTGACCAAACATTTTGACGAGCATGCATTCTATTCGGAGGAGAACATCTAGAGAATGCCACCTCAGAGGCACTCTCACTTTCTTTTTTTGACAACGTTTCCATTGAGTACCGGGATATATGTCTAGCGCTAGCACATCATCTTCCTAAAAATTACAAGCAAGACACCATAGGGATTTATTGCAACAGCCAGGGGCAAGGTGGCAAAAATGACGCATGTCCCTGTTTGGGTGTCAAACATTAGATTTCGCACTACATGGACAGATGCAATGTCTTCCGCTAGAGCTCCTAATATTTGCAAAAGGTCAACGTGTTTCTTAAATGCACCCTCATTGATATTCCGCGGTGCAGCGCATTGGTGACCGCTGCCCTGCACTCTTTGTTAACATGATGGTAATTGTTGAAGTACGTACCTGCTGGTCGCCCGGTTCACCGGGGACCCGCACCCCAGGGGCCCCGAGTGCCGAATCTGTGCCCACTAGCGTCAGGATCCTGGCCAGAGACTGCGCTAGTGGGCGCACGGTGGAGCTCCCGCCCCCGGTCCTTCTGTTGATAACGAAAACGACTGAATAAATTTCATTGCACTATCAGCAGACTACAAAGATTACCTTGCGGTCTCGTTGAGCTGTGCAGCTCGCTTCCGCGCCTTCATCACGCGCCGGGACCAATGCTCCTTCCATTGCTTGTAGCTCTTGGTTGGAGGCCCCAGCGCGTTCAGGCGCAGAGCGAGCTGCTCCCAAAGACGCCGCTTGTCGTCCCGCGTAAGGGCGGCGGAGAGGTCAGTGGCGTTGCGCGCGAGCGACGGGTGCTCACACATGAAGGAGAGTTGCTCCTCCTTCTGAGCAGCCGTCACTCGCGCGCTCCTCGTTGGTCCCGCCGACCCCTCCGCTGCCCCCGGCACCCCCGGCTCCTCGTGGTCCGACCCGTCCGACATTTTGGTTTGAAGAAGGCGCGTGGCGCACATCCCGCATAATATTGGACCAACTTTCTCTCCAATTAACTGTTAAATGTATTGCAAAAGGATACGAAAAAGCGGTTTGTTTTAACAGCGCCCAAAAGGTTTTGATTGTTTTTCAATACTTTTACCTGTGCTAGAACAGATGCGACGGCCAGCGACGCACAGGATTGGTTGCCGTTCCTTCGCTAAACGCAGGAACTGCTCCCCGCGTCGTAGTAAATCCTACCCCGTATCCCGCGCGTAGGGACGCCTCAGGGAATGCGTAGCTACTTCCGCTCGTCGGTGGTTGGCTCCGGACGTCGCTTAAACGGGTGACAGGCGTCAAGTTTGCGATGACGTAGCGGCGTCAAAGTGGGCAGAGCCGCCACGTGAGTGTTGCTAGGATACGCTCCTCCTTTCCATTACGTCACTTCCATGTACCTTTTCTCAAATGTCCAACCTTGCGATCCAGAAGTCCTATAAGATGAGACCTGAAAAACTTGAAGAGCTCCATTCCCTGGTCGAAACACCACTCACAAGAGCTGACCTCACGCGGGAGCCGCTATTATCGCGGGCTAGACTTGCCATGACACTGAGGTACTGGGAACTTTCCTGCTTTTCTAATTAGCTCTGATTTATGCACAGACATATGATTTACTGTTCCACCCGCTTTCTTTAAGGTACTTATCGTCTGGAATGCAGATACATGACATTGCTCTGGCCTTTAGGGTCGGAATCTCGACAGCGGCGGGTGTCATTCACTCCACCTGCAAGATTCTCTGGACAGCTCTCCAACCCCTTTGTCTAAAGGTATGTTGAAAGGCTGGCTGGTCAAATTTGTGATAGAAAATGCTTTGCTTAAGATTAAATTTTGCGCGCCTCTTTTATTACCAGTAATTTGTGAGGTGCTTTTAGAGAAATACTGACACTGCTGGGGATTGTAGTATTGAATACGTTTTAAATCGGGAAATAAGCATACTGATTAAGATGGTGCGTCCACGGTGACCGTTCAATGCAGATCCGAGAGCTCAGCTCGCGCACTGCCGTCCGAGTCCCGCTTCTTTTAGCCTGACAATACCTGGGTATACAAGCAGTCACAGTTCGTCAGCGGGTTTCACATGCAGCGATTTTGGCTCTAGAGCGGCGCGATTTCTGCCGTCGCGGCGCTCTGGCCAGCCGCAGCGACTGAGCGGCACGGTTCCACCTGGTTGGAAATTCTTCGCCGCGGCAGAGCGGCAGCTCTCGCCTTGGCCACTCACAGCGAGGCGTTAAGTCACGTGACAGGAGGAGAAACATTGCGGGAAAGCTGGCGCACAGGACGGTGGCATTTTCACGTTCTTGAAGCAGACGACAAGCAGAGAAAGTACGCAAGCGACTGGTTTGCGATATCTCTTTTACGGCGGGTCGCGCTTCTTTGCTTCAGCAGTCGCGTCGGAACTGTTCAGTAGATGATTGAGGAGAGGGATTGCTGTCCCCTTCCTCGGAATTTGTTTTCTCAATGAATTACGCGACTCTTTTTTGCTTTCCTCGCCTGAGTACCGACTGTAGCGAGCGCAAGAGACGCTACTTGTTAGCGGCTTGTACGTGCGCTAGTGAGAAAAACAAAAGAAGAAGAAGAACTGAGCGACATTGACATGTTTTTTTCCAACACAGATCGTTGCACCAAGTAAGACGAAACATGTTGCGCCCAGTTCAATTATCTGCTTATCAGTGAACTGTCCGAGTGTCGGGTTCCTTAGGACGCGCAGCTCAAAGAATTTAGGAACAATGGGATCAAAGGGAAACTCTGGGAAGAGGTGGCTGAGGCCTTGAAAGTGATCGACAAGACCGGTATGAAACGACTGCACTACTACCGGTTCGCGAGGTTCGGGTCGGTCATATCAGTTGAAGTATGGTGCCTGGATTGCGTCTTTGACTGGTGTGTTTACCGCGGCCAAAAAAGTGGTCCCTCGATTTCCGCCTGATGACGTCATAAAAGTGTTCTGCTGTCGCCGGTCGCGACCCTGGTGGCGTCCCAACAGTTATGGTGTATGTAGCAGGTGCCTGTTCTGCTGCAGGTCGCTTTCCACTGTGACAGTTCACGGAAGCTAGTGCAGCCGGAAGTTGGGACGCCTAACCGGACGCCGTGACGACAGCGACACTCGCGTTCGCTCCTGCTTTTCGCCAGCATTTCTACGGCCAACCGCCAGGATCGCGACAGGCAACAGCATGACACTCGCGTCATTTGTTGCCACATCGGGACCACTTTTGATGTGTGGGCGGGATAGGACGCTAAACACACCAGTCGAAGACGCGCTCCAGGCACCATAGTTGAAGTCTACATCCGAGGAAGGCGCTGCCCGTGACGCTGCCGAGGATGATTCGACGTTTGATCCTCCGCGACAACGAAGTTCGAAAGAAAACAAGAACCATAAACAAATAGGATTAAGGTTTATTTAATATTCTAAACGCTTTTTTATTTTATTAAGGTGAAATTAAAGGGTAAAATTAAAACTAAGGCATTAAAATTATTGGAAACCGCTGTAACCTACTGTGAGCATCTGCTTGCTGCAAGCAACATTGGCCATCGCAACCGCAGGAAACGCTCATGTGAAGTGAAACCTCGCGATCCGTGCCGCCACGCCGCTAGCGGCAACGATTTCGGCCACGAAATTCCTTCATGTGAAACCCGCGTAGATTAATGGTGCTATATCAATGAAGGCCATCTTGCACAAAGTTGAGCACTTATTATGAAGTTCTGGAGTTGAGTATTGTAATGTAGTATACAGATCATGAAAACCTTAAAACGGTGAAGGGATTAACCAATGTTTACTTATGTTGTTATAAAACGGATTTTAAAGGTATCTGTGTGTGCCTACATATATTATATACCATCGAAAATTGTAGTTTATGAAACTGATTTCAGAACTTCCATGCAGTCGCGTTTGAAATATTTAGAAGGCTCTATTACATGTCTGCTGCTATAACACAATGTCATCACAGGTGCCAACTACTGAGAGATGGCAGGAAGTTGCTGAGGGCTTCCAGAACAAGTGGAATTTCCCCCACTGTGTCGGTGCTGTGAATGGCAAACACATCGAGATTCAGGCACCACCGAATTCTGGTAGCTTATACTACAACTATAAGGTGCAGTTTGCGTCAGTACTTTTTATGAGCTGTATTTCTCACTGCATTTATGATTTGTTGTCATTACAGGGTACATACTCTATCGTACTAATGGCTATTGTGGACAGTGACTTGAAGTTCGTTGCTGTAGACGTCGGTGCCTACGGACGACAGAGTGATGGAGGTACCCTAAGTGCCTCTCGGTTCGGTAAATGTCTCGAAAATGGCCTCCTCGGCCTGCCACCACCAAAGCGGCTTCCAAACTCGACAGTAATCGCACCATATGTGTTCTTGGGGGACGAAGCGTTCCACCTACGCCCCGACTTTTTGAGACCATACCCGGGAAAGCACCAGGACGATGACAAACGAATATTCAACTATCGGCTCAGCCGTGCAAGGTGACTTAAAAGCGCAATAACCATGTAGTGAATTGGAGGGGGTGGGCGGGTAGTTTCTAGCAGGGTAGCAAATAGTTTAATTGTTGTTGTTTTTTGTCTGTTTTGTTGCGGGATAATTGTAAAGAATCATTTCCGTGAACCTGTCTCCACTTGTGCAGGAGGTGCGCCGAAAACGCTTTTGGCGTGTTGGCATCAAGGTTTCGGATATTCCGAAGAACCATCAACCTGCTACCAGAACACGCAGACTACGTCGTCATGGCAACTTGCGCACTACACAACTACTTGCGGGACGACTTTGTCTACATTCCTCCTAGCTACGTTGACAAAGAGGATGCCTATGGCAACATCACGAACGGCAACTGGCGATCGACATTGAAAGACGACGAAACAGTTATGACGGACCTGGAGCCTCCGGTGGGGCACAATTACAGCGGTTCCGCACGTGAAGCGAGGGACCTCTTCTGCTCCTACTTTATGAGCAAGCAAGGGGCCGTACCTTGGCAGCGGACCTCTGCTGGGCTACGTCCTTAAACGGAAGCGCACCTTGTGCTGCGAGCACTTGCAAACTTTTGCATACATTGCATGGTAGACACCATCCAGACGAATAAACAAGCAAAAGGTGTGACTCATTTGTCTTTACTCGCTCTTTACAAGAAGTGCATCAGGGTATCGGCCTTGAGCATACTGAGATAGAATATGTAGAAGTTCCATCTTAAGGTGAGTCTGCATAGACTCGGGTGTCGCCTTTAAGTATGGATCTAGGGAGAGCAGGAAGTGGACAGTAGCATCCATAGGCTTGTGTGCTGCCAGGGCCCCTCTCACAACGTTGAGTTCGTCTTCCACTGCTTCCAAGTCCTGCTTCCGTTTTTGGCTTTTTGCGTGTGTCCTAGTCGCTACGCTTTCTCTTGGGCAGCTTCCCGGCTCGGCTGCTTGGGAAGGACCAGCAGCAGAGGTCTCGGCGTAGCCCGGTGACGCAAAAATCAGGTTCAGACTGCTTGAGGCGTCCGGCCCCCTTGGGCTCCCTTGAGGCGTCGGACTGTCTGCTGCCGGTTGACTCATGTGTGCCACCGTTAAATCGGTGGCCTCATGTTGCTGAAGCTTCTAAAAAGAATGTAAATTATTAAATGGGCGGTGCAACAAGTTTTCTACTTCGCGCAAATACCGCTCAGAACGGAACACTGACGTTACTGACATATATGAAACACGCGTTCGTCTTTCAAACCACGTAACAGAAGTTCCAGAAAAACATAAAAAAACAAGCAGCGTTCACCCCCTCAACTCGCAGCCAGAACAAGCGGCCATGTGATCTGGAGCCGATTATATGCCGCCAATGTTGATCATAGCCACGCGCTGGGGTTGGCAAAGCATAGGACACGCGCTGAGTTCCACACATTGCTATGGCTCGGCTATTGTCGTCGTCGCAGCGATTGGTCACGGGCCACTACCCGAATGCTTCTCGAGCTAGTAATTATCACAAGCCCAAATCGAGGGCCCACGCAATACTCGGGTCCAATCTATGAACCGCATTCAAATATCGTCATTTGGAGGAGGAGGAGGAAAACTTTATTCAAAAGCTCAGGTCCGAGCCGTCTTAATCGTCCGCACTGGAGGAGGAATCGTCTTCTACAACTTGGGTTAGGGTTCTTCGTTGCGGAGGGTCTAGGATCTCCCGCACATGAAGAAGTAGGAGAGGCCAGAGCTCGTTTTGTAGGTCAGGAGGAGGAGCGGCCCAATTTACCCAGGAGTAGGGGAGGTGGGCAGGGAAGTTCAGAGGAGTTGGGCGAGTGGGGGAGCTCGTGGCTCTTGGACAGAGCCAGTATGTGTGTTCGTTTGATGGGTATCCCCCGCACACCTGACACCAAGGCTGTCCGGGGCGGCCCTGTATGTAGTGATTGTATTGATCGCAAGGTAGGGAGTTAGTCTGTGCTTGGCGAATGAGGCTGGCGTCTGCTCTGTTGAAGATGGTGGAGGGTGATGAGAGGGTGCACCGCTGGTGCCGAAGCAGCCGGAGATGTTCTCTTCGTTCCTTGTGATTAGAGGCGCGAGCTTCTCGGGGGTTGTATGGTTCCGGCCAAGGCTTCGGAGGGCCCGGAGGATTGCTTGCGCGGGCCAGAGCGTGTGCACGCTCATTCTCCGGAATGCCTTGATGGCCCGGAACCCATTCGAGACGAACGTAGAGTTCAGGGTGAGTGGCCATGTAGTCCTGAAGGGTAGTGCGGGTGTGATCTGGCAGGCCTTGACATTCAAATGCTAGCAGCGCCGCCTGGCTATCGGATCTGATTGTGATAGTCGAGGTCGAGTGGTCATGAAGGGTGATGGCTTCCTCGATCGCTTGGATCTCCGCCGCAGTTGGGGAAGGGACGCCGCAGTGTAGGCGGGTGGATGTGGAGTGGGGGCCGATGACTGCAGTGATGATCCGATCTGGTTGGATATGAGCGTCTGTGTAGTATGTGTCGTGAGATAGCGTCGGGAGGTAGTGAGCATAGTTTTGACGGCGCGTCTTGTTCCTATCTGGATCCATGTTTCGTAGAATGGGGCGTACTTCTATTCGTGGCACGCCGTCCCATGGCGGTGGGGGCGGAGGGATGGGGGGCAGGTGCTCCGTAGGATGGCCAAGGCTTTGAAGGATTGCCCGTCCCTGTCTGGAGGTTGAGAGACGGTGTAACTGGGCCTGGTGATGGGCCGCTGTTTTCTCTTCAAGTGTGTTGAAAAGTGCAGTGTCCGCTATTTTGGTATTGGCGGCATATACGGGAACTCCCAGGGCAGTACGGGTGAACTTGCGGAGGGAAGCCTCGATTTTGTTTGTCTGGGTGGTAGTGAGGGTTTGGTATGGATACGCATACATGAGACGAGTGTACACGAGTGCCTCGATCACTTTGCGAAGTTCGTGCTCCCGTAAGCCGTGGCGTTGTCGTGTGATACGCCGGAGCATATGGAGAATTTGCTCTAGTTGTTTTAGAATGGTTCTTACCCATATCGTGCTTCGTCCGTCTTGTTGGAAGATGAATCCAAGAATTTTGATGTGGGTGCGGCGGGGTATAGGGTTATTATCGATACGCACTTGGATGAGGTTGCGGTATGCATCTCCTTTTTTGGTGTCATTGTTGGAGACCACAACATAAGTGGATTTATCATGGGAGCAGGTGAGGCCTACGCTGCGGGCGTGGCTTTGGATGATGTCGAGTCCTGTCTGGATAGTTTCCTCTTGTTCTGTTGGGCTGCCAGTTGAGGACCCTATGGTTACATCGTCAGCATAAATGGCATGTTGGAGGCCAGGGACTTTTGAGAGTTTGTGTGGAAGATCCTTCATGACGAGGTTAAACAGTGTAGGTGATAAGACAGAGCCTTGTGGTGTTCCCTTGGTGAGAGGGTGAGGATCAGATGGGTTACCGTCCGGGCCTATGATTCTAATTGTTCGATCCGTAAGGAAGTTCTTAATGTAATTAAAAAGTCTTGCACCGGGGCGAGTGTCTGCGAGGTTGTGTAGAATTGCCGAGTGGTCTACCCCATCAAAGGCCTTTTTAATGTCCACTCCGGCGATTGTACGGAGTTGTGCTGTGCTTCTGTACGCGTATATATCTTCACCGATGCGGCGGGCGACGTCCTGAGTGCAAACATGGGAGCGGAATCCGACCATGGTGGGAGAAAGGTGGTTGTGAGCGTCGAGGTGCCACTCGAGCCGAGTAAGCGCCATCTTCTCCAATAGTTTTCCCAAACAGGAGGTCATGGAGATGGGGCGGAGGTTATTGATGGTGGTTGGGGGTTTACCAGGTTTCGGGATGACTAGGACGTTGGCAGTTTTCCACGACGCAGGGATGTTTCCAGAGCGCCATACCTCATTAAGAATCTCTAGGAGTTCAAGTAGCTTTATGTCAGGAAGATTTCGGAGGATTCCGTACGTGATTTTGTCAGGTCCAGGAGACGTGGTACGCGTAAAAGAACGAAGGGCTGTAAAGAGCTAATCGAACGTGAAGTCCGAATTGATACCCTCTGCCTCAGGCTCGGGTGGTGATTGAGGATAGTAAAGGTTCTGAATGCTTTGTAGAGAGTGCGGATAGAAAACTTCTCTGATTTGGTAGGTGAGTTCCGATGACGACGCGTCTAATGCCAGTTGCAGTTTCTGTAAAGTGTTACGGGGTCGGTTCTGGCCGAGCAGGGTGCGCATGATCTGCCACACTCTAGGAGTGTGGAGGTGGTCATTCATATTATCGCATGTCTTGAGCCATGTGTCCGTGGCTGGTTGGTCTGCATACTCCTGAGCTTCGTAGGTAAGGCATGCGATCTTCTCTTGGAGGGTGGTGCTGGATTTGTTCTTCTTCTTCCAAGCCTTAACGACTCTGCGGCGTTTGCTCCAAATGTTGAGGAGGTGGGTGTCAATATAAGGGTGCTCTTCAGTGCGCTTAACATGGCGCGTGTATTTCGCCACGGTGTTCATGATGTTGGCGCACCATGCTGTTGGATCAGGGTTAGACGCGGGAAGGTCTTCAATCGCCTTTCTGGCTTTCGGCCAGTCTACAATTTGCGATATGGGGCTTCGTGAGTGCCGTTGCCGGGTGCCGTGCTTGGGAGTTAGGGTGATCTGTATGATATGGTGGTCACTACCTAGGTTCTCGTCAGTGTTATCCCAACTTGCACTCATGTCGCTGCGTATCCATGTAAGGTCTGGGGTTGTATCGTTTTCTCGGGCTGTGCCCTGGCGTGTCGGAGTGGACGTATCGTTCAGGAGAGTAAGGTGGTGAAGGCCTGCGAAAGCGTCCAGTTTCCTGCCGAGTGCGGAGGTCCTGTCGTATCCCCAATTGGGGTGCGGACAGTTGAAGTCTCCCAGGAGGAGGAGATCGATGGTGCCTTGGCTGCTACAACAGGGGTCTGGAGAGGTGGGAGGGGGGAGTCGTGACCACGTGGGGTCCAGTAGGCATTGATGATGGAGACCTTTTGTCCGTGGTAAGTGGAGTCGGTGATTACGTGCTCCTTGGTGGGGGAGTTGAGGGGCCCGGAATCATCCTGGATGGTTGGAATTTGTTTGCGCACGTATGTGACCGTCATCGCTTGGGGGGGAGGGGGTGTTTGGTGTCCTTTGTGTCTAGGGACGATGCTGGGTTGTATAAAACTGTCGTAGCCGGGAAGGGGAAAGTTGCCGTAGGTCTCTTGGAGGGCAATGATATCCGGCTGCGTCCCTGCGTGAAGCATATACTGCAGGAGGGTGTTCTTTTTGCGTTTGAGGCTGCGACAGTTCCATTGCCATATGACGAGGGAAGTTTGGGTTGGTGTAGGGTGATGAAGGGCGTCAGGCATTTTGAGCCTCCGGGCTTTCTTCCATGGCGTTTATTTGGTGGTGGGCAGCACGTTTCCGGGGGTGCTCCTCTAGGGTGGTGAGGTATTGTTCGAGTTTGTCAATGCGGTCGGCTAGTCGTTGGACGGCTTGCATAATGGGGGCGAGGGCTTGTTGGATCATTTCGATGATGTCGCATTGGGAGGGGGGAGACGGAGTTGGTCGTAGGAGGGTTTGGGAATAAGTTGGGTGAAATGTGGGG